AGTAATGTGCAGTGAGACTTCAGGAATGCAACCAGTGATTCCTAATTCCATAAGGCCAGACTACTCCCTCTTACCTTTTGACTGACCAGGCTCGGCGTGCTTGACCCAGGAGAGCTAGGAATTTGCTGATGGTAGGAATCTGTCCTGCAGATACCTAACTGTCTCACCTTCTGGCCAGGAGTGAGCAGCAGCAATCCTCTTCCCCTTTTGTCCTAAGTGAGAGCCCCCCTCAAAGACTGACAAGCTATAACTTACAGGTGATAATTTCAGAGCTCAAACCAGTCGATGTTATCTGTTTCCATCCTTGTGCAGGTAGTCCCTTAGAAAATCAGCAATTCCTTCACCCTCGTGATGGTTCAGGATGATGCAGACTGCAGGCAATATACTAAAGCCATGAGTTTTCCAGAGGGTTAAGGAATTAAGCATCTGAACTGTCATTCTGGTGTCTTCTGTCAATGTCCACCTGCTTAGAGTTAAGATGGGCATTGATTAAGAAGAAAAAAAAGTGGGATGTGTAACATGCCGAAGGGCAAACTAAATGAGGGAGCCAGGAAACTGCTTTGGATATAATATCATGGTGTCACACCAAATAGCAGAGGTAGGCAGCAGAATGAAAGCAGGAGGAGAAAAGCAAGGCAAAAGGAGTCATAGGAGAAAGAAATTCAGCAAAGGTGTTTGTTTCCGTGAGAGAGGGGTCATCTACTCTACTGATTTAGTTCAGCTTAGTTTAGGAGTGCAAATCTTGTAGTCATCCTCATTCACCATACTTCAGTTACATCCGCTAGACACCTTTTGGATAGCAGTGACGTGGAAGATTGAGCACCATATGCACACTGAGTGCATCCCAAGTGCTAATGGTTAATGGCCATGGGGCCAGAGCTGCCCCAGTGGGAAACCTCTGAAAGGAGTCGAGGGGTTGTGCTGGGCTCTGGGCACCAGCTGTTTTCTCTCCAGGTCTGCTCCTATTGTGCTGCACAATTTGCTAACGGAAATACAGCCAGCGGCTGCCCGGAGCAGCGCTGGGCACTGTAACGCATTTGAGACCCCCACTGGAGATGCACTAAGGAGAGTGATAAGATATAGCAGTTAGATGTTTAAAAAAATAAATACCTACTGTTAAAGCCTTGCAATCCTGAAATTATAGACAAGTGTTCCAGCCCCTGAAGTTTGAGAGAACTTTTGCTTCCAGTCCTGAGACTGTTCATGCTCCATCCAGTCCTCCTCCTTTCTAACTGCAAAGAGCAGTTGCTAATGTGTTATTTATGTTTTCAACTATCTCCAGTGTTGTTCCCTGCTGACTTTAGAGAGGGGTTGGTTAAAGCACCAGGGGATCTGGGTGAATGCATGGTGAGGACTGAGCAGCACTGCAGGATGACCTGAATCTGGGGAGAAGAGTGGCCTAGAAGGCATGTCCCCAGCTCAGCGTTCCCAATATTAATATCAATTACGGAGAGCTCGTTGACATTTAATCTGTGCACTTGACAGCTGGGATCAGTGACAGACACATACTAGCAAGGAGTGGGAAACTCTAAGGATTCTGGATTAAGATTTGCTCAGGGCAGCAGCCACAGGGTGGTTGAGCTATGTGGGCATATCAGATGGCAACTTTGGCCATGGGGAGTGTGTCATGTTGGAAGAATTCAGCTCTTTGAGGAGCACAGCAGGCACTGAAATGTGGACACACATGGGGCGGTTGGCAGCCTGCCGTTCCTTGCTGTCCTGGGTGGGAGCACTTGGAGCCGGGCAGAAGGAAATGGGGCTGCAGTAACTCTACGCCTACGGAGGGATGCCAAGCGCCAGACAAGAGCAACCTCGAGTAGCGTTGGCATTGCCTCATAGGGCTTTGGCACAGTCCTGGTCACTAACTGACTACAAGAAAGTATTGACTGTTTTGGAGGACTGTTTTAAGTATTAAGTAAAAACTATCTAAGTTATAATACTATAAACGCTTCACAATTTTTCTGATATGCAAAGGAATGACACCCATCAATAATGCGTTTTGTCTGTGGCTCTGGACCCATCCCAGTCCCTGGGGTGGACATTAAGGGATTTCAGTGAGATAACCACCCACTAAATATCCCTGTCTTAGAAGAGGATTAATTCTTTGTCTGCATGACACAGCGCAAAGTTTGCTGCATTGCAGACACCATGTGGTTGGGAACAAACGCGTGTACGTACCCACACACACCCCCCTCACAAAATGTCCCTCGGGGACTGGAGGAATTTCCCCAGTATCTACACCTTCCACCTAGATCTTCCCTTTAGATCTATTTGCTCTGTCAGTTTTTATATGGTTTAGTTGTCAGTTCGCTGCTCTGTCATTTTGAATTGGGTTTGATCTTTTTATTTTATTCCACTCCATTAATTATTTGAGCAGTTGTCAGTTATGTGCAACCACCGGGCATGTTCGTTGGATCACATCGTTTCTCTCTGTTTGATCTAGCGCACGTGTACCATACCCGTACCGCAGCTTATCGCTTTCATAACCACTGCACATTTTGAATACAAACGGTTGACGTTCATGGCCTTAATTCTCTTCACTTAAACCCTGCAATGCCACTGACACTAAGACAGTCGCACCGAGGCAATTAGAAGCAGAAACTGATGAGTGACCTCCCTGTTTAAGTTAGTTTGGGCAGGGTGAGTGCCACTAGGAGAGAGCAACCAAGGGCATCTGAGAGGCCACTGAGAGCAGAGCTGCTAAGTAGGAGGAGCAGGGAAAGCAGCAGCCAAACTACGTTGCAATTAAGTAGAATAAATAGTCAAAACTCTTCCCTTTTGTATTCAAGCTTCATTGTACTTCGCTGATGCAGTGATGCATCCCCATGGTATCCTTCAGCGTCCCATGGAGCAGGGGAGACAGACTGCAAAAGCAGCGTGGGGTGGGGTACTCTGCCTGCAGGCACTGTTTCTGTGCTTCCCTCTCAGCCTCGTTAGTGCATCCAGGTGTACATTTTTCATGGGCAGAATAGTTGGGTTAGGGGCGCTGGTGAAGCCTTAAAGTCTATGAGACTGTGTGTGTGCTGCATGGCTAAAGGCTGTGCCCCAGTAATCCTGTGGGATAATAATGTAAACATTATTAAATATGTATTATTTGTATAAGCAGCCCCAGAAAACCCTGAGAGAGTCTGGCTGTGAGCTGGATGAAAACAGATCTACCCCAGGAGCTCACCTGGATTTGTAGGGTAAGACAGGAACCCTGTGTGCCCAACTGTCTGTCCTGTCAGTGGGTCCACTCACTTCAATCACGGGTTGACCTCCTAGTCAGAGCTGTCAGCATCACTCTGAGCACATTCCGCCCAAAAGCCATCCAGGACAGCCCGTCCATAGGACCCGTCAGGCTGCCTGAGGGATTACAAGGGAGTGGTGTGGGGATACAGCCAAGTAGCATTGCTTTTCCTCCAACGCCCAAGGTCAAGAGCACTACAGGAGGCTGAACGTTTCTCCACCTTTATGCGATCCATGTCCCATTGTGGGCTGTTAAATTTGTAGCAGTTGCCAGTGAACCTCTCTGCTTTTATAGCCTTAGAATAGTAATAATAAAAAAAGAAAACCTTCTTCCCCCTGAATTTGTTGAGATTTTGATGAGTAATGTTCCAGCATCCAGCATTTAGACTCTGCATGCTTTCTCTGTTAGATAAGGTTGTTTATCTCAGAATTTGCGGAGATGGCAAAAAAACCCCACTGGCCTATACATAATATGGATAAAAATATAAATTCCATTTCATGTATGGACTCAGCCAGTGAAATGTACAGCACGGTCACTGAGCTGAAAAAGGGAATTTCATAGAACCTGTGAAACAGAGAAATCTGAAGAATTAAATTGTAGTTAATTTTTTTTTTCCAAAATCTATGGACTTTCAAAATCTGTTTTTTAAAAACATATTAAAATATATGAACCCTGAAGCCTATAATAAATGGCAAATCCTAGTTGGTTGAGTTTTCCATTAAGTGATACCTGAACATGTAACTATGTTTCATAACCTCAGAGAAAGATTGTATTTTATATATATAAACCTTCTATAGTATATATATTCTGTATACAAATATATTTA